ACCAACAACACCAAGTATCCAAATGCACGAGTCTCGGGGGCCATTCCTATTCAAACCACCAAAGCCAACGAGTACTTTTCCACGCCACGAGCTTCTCTTGAACTTCAATGCCAACTGGTCAGTGGAGGAGGGGCAGTCACCGCTGTATTTGGATGACCCAAGGGCTAACTCTGACCAACCCATCATCTTGCTTCTTGCTCTTGTCTGTCCAGTTCTCTGCTTTTCTCCAGAACTCAGCAGGTTGTGTGCCAGCAACTACACACAGAAGAGATCACATGTCCAAGAAAGCTAGCTTAGCCATGAAAGAGCTTAAACTGAGGGCAGGTTGGCTTCACAGGGCAATGTTGAGGACTCGCAGGAATCTTCACTCTCTTCGGGTTCTCTCTCTTCCTGCTGCCCTCAGCTTTCATGGTCTTCCATTCACCCTTTCTTAGAAACAGCTGCCTATTTTCTAAACTCACTTTTAGAATGAGAAGGGCTCTGAGATATGCAGATTCTTGAACTACTACCTCCCTGTTGGGGAAGTCCTGTTATTTGCCTGTGCATTTGTCAATAAAGTACTGTCTGGCCAATAGAAAACCTAGATAGGAGGGGCTAGGAATCCAGGAGGATTCTGGGAAGGGGAAACACAAGAGAGTCAACATGTGACGCCATGGGGGTAGGACGCCGGGAACTATTCTCCGGTAAGAAACATACTTAGATTAACAATTATGGGGTAATTACTTAAGGCAGAGCTAGCCAGTAAGAGACAAGCAAGGCCAACAGCTTCATAATTAATATAGCCTCCTGTGTGTTTATTTGGGACTGATGCGGATCTAGAACCAGGCTGGCGCGGCAGAGCCCAGGCGACTGGCGGGGGATAAACCAAAGCGGCTAGCAAAAGAAAAAGCTTCTCTTAACACCTCCCAAAAGGGAAACTGAGGCTCAGAGGTGTGAAACAACTTGTACCTAACTGTGGGGACCTGTAGGGCTCCTGGCCTCAAACACTTTGGGTATGCAACATTGCCTTGCTTCTCTAAGATATTAGGAGAGAGAAGGGGGATGCTTATACATAGTCATATATACAGGAAGCTGTATATACACAGCCAGTTCAGTCCCAGGTATGAGGGGGAAAGTCAGAAGGAAAATGCTAGACATCATGTGCCTTTGTAGTTATTGTTTTGCATGTATTTATTTAGTGTGTGTGTGTGTGTGTCTTCAGCCCTATTCAATTTTTTTATGATAAAACAAATCACCAGATGCTATGGCTCAGCATGTCAACTCTTTTGCCTCTGAGTCTTGACAATCTGAATTTAGTCTCCAGAGCCCACCATGGAGGGAGGGAACACTATGCTCTCGCAACACACATTCCACACATACAGCAATGGTAAATAAATTATAATCTTAAAACAGGCTCACCTCCTGCTCCCTGATTCAAGGCCCTTTCCTGTCTTCACCTCTTCTCTTCAGCTGGAACGCTCTCCCATTGTTGGAATGGCTTCTTACCCTGAGGGAACTCTTTCTAAGGTTCAGACCCCGTTACTATATTTGTTCCCTTACAGCACCCGGCATGAAATAACTACCAATTTCTGTAGTTAACTGCTCGTGTCTCTCTCTGCCTGTTTCTTCCTGCAAGAATTTGTTTGTCCCTGGCGTATCCACAGAAACCAGGAAAGTAAAAAGGAATTTGGGGTGGGGAGAGAGAGAGGAATAGCAGGATACAGGTGATATGTAGGGGGAAATGGGGAAAATCAGGTGGGGGGTCTTTAAATGAGGAGGGCTAAGGAGACCAATACATAAGTAGAGTGAGGAGGAGGGAAAACAACGCTAAGGATATTTGAAAAAGCCACAAGGAATCATTATCTTTTATTTACCTAAAATTACATATAACACATATACACATATAGTTTAAATGAAGTCACATCACTTGGGCTGACAATGCTCTCCTCAAGAGTCATAGACTTTCCAATAAATGCTCTACTACCTGGCATGAGAAACTAAACTCCTTAAATAATTTGAGCTGTTGCCTTCACCCTTAGTTGCCTCCCAGAGGTTGAAGGCAGGTCTCTATTGCTGAAGACACCATGAACTTCATACACAGGACTCGGAAAACCCAGGCTAGCGTTGACCTGAAAGCCATCATAATATTGGAAGGTGTTATGCAAGCTTCCAAGGGAGAAAAGCAACCAATAGTCCTACCCAAGCTGTGATGCCCATGAACCACAACAATGACCACCATGTCAAGTTACCCCTAAGTGTGCAATAGTGGCACTTCTATCTTGGTGGCAGCCAACAGCTGTGTAATTGGACTTGAGGCTCACTCAACAGGAGGGAAATCATGCCTGACACTAGAACCCTAACCAACTACCTGAACTTGTGAAGTCATAGTCTTAGAGGAGAACCTATTACTTTTACTTTGCTAAACCAGTATAATATATAACTGCATTCTAAATATTTACCCCAATACTCATAGGTAAGTGTAGCCCTTCTCCTTATTTAAAGAAACTTCCCTTTGCAACAGAAGGAGACCATTATAGAACCCCACACTTGGTCAAAATGCAGATCCTGGGATGTCCGGTCCCAGTGCATATATCTACAACACAACTCCTGTACCCAAGGCTCAGGAAACATCACAGAAGAAGGGACAGAAAGACTGTAAAATCCAGAGCACAAGGACATCTTCTGTAAGATTGTGTCTTCTAGAAATGATGACTCTTCACCTATGATAACCTCAAAAAAAATGCTGGCTAAATAAGACTTGATCAAGGACAGCACCAATGGACATTCTCACTCTGAAGGGGGAACTCTCATGACGGCCCACCCCTAAACAAAACACTACTGCAGGCCACTAAGGAATGTTGACGGTGGGAGAAATAGTTTTATCTAGGGATGAGCCCCTAATGGATTGTCCACTGTCATTTAGTCATTCCTAAAATCTCATACATACAAGTATTGCTAAGTGGACCAAGCAAGGGCTGTGTGTGTGTGTGTTTGTGTGTGTGTGTGTGTGTGTGTGTGTGTGTAACAACAATGATTAAAGAAAAACAGGCCATGAATTTGAGAGGAGGCTTGATGGGGGAAGGATATGAAGTATTTGGAGGGAAGAAAGGAAAGGAAGAAATGATATAATTATATTTTTAAAAAGTGTGAAAAATAACATTTGTCTTGTTCACCATATATATTCTTGGCAGCTTAGATGATACCTGGTATGTGATAGGTGCTCAATAACTATTTGCTGAATTAACAAATAAAATAAAACTGTATGCTTGTGGACTGTTGTTCAAATAACAATGGGCTGTGTCATTGCAATGTCAACTAGATTCAGAATGGTCTACCAGGAATGAATTCCTCAAGATCCTTAAGATCTAACCAACCCCCTGTGAGACGACATCCTTAGGGCTTTGTTCTACACCACCCTGGGTCTCTCAATGAGAGAATGTCCAAGCAGCTCTGAGCTTTGAAGGCCATTAATGGTGTGTGCCAGGGATGTTAAATTAAGGAAGCTGCCACTCGTGTGGAGTGCTTTATTGTTGTAAATTACCTGGATGTAGGCCTTTTGCTAGCACACAAAGTGTCTCCCAGGTTGCACTGTAGCCTAAGATGTCTTGCCCCTTTCACCTTTGGAAGCTAGGACCTTTGGGCTCTACTTAAGTGCCCTGAGTCTAGTGATAAAAGCTAACTCTTATGGATCTCCTGATGTGTGCCAGGAGCCTCCCAGAAAACCAAGTACACACCCCCACACCTGGCTTTGTATGTGGGTCCTAGGGATCAGATCAGGTCCTCGTGTTTGTGAGGCAAGTATTTCCCTGACAGCTACCTCTCATTCTTCCAGTGAACATTCTTTATGATGTTTTCCATTCTAATTATATTACTCAGTTTTGCACTGAAGAAACCAAGACTCATACTAGTTAGTGAAAGCCACAAATGAAGTCCAGGTGTGTGTGGTAACAGAGCTCACACCTTACGGCTCCTTCGTTTTCTGCCCACAGTTAGTCTTGTCCTTTCTCTGTTCCCGTGGGAGACCATCGTGTGGACAGCATCTGCAGGCATGCCAACGCTCCTTAATCAGAGGCAAGTTGTCTGGTGGAGATATTAAAAAGCTGCAATTCGAGAATACAAAGAAGACATAGGAAAAGATAATGTCGGATCAGAGAGATGACTGCCCAGTGGGCTCAGGAACTGGTTTCTCATCTGTATAGAGCCTTTCTGGGTTAATTTCTTGCCTTATCATAGGTATTTTAGGTCCCTAAAGGCTCCTTACAAAGTCATAGATGGGAAATAGCTGTTCTCCAAGAGTAACATTGTAGATACTTGGGCTTCCTTCTAGGGACAGCCTCTCCCTCCCCTCAGAGAAGCAGCCTGGTCTCTCTCCAAGTCCCTGCAGACATAGGTTTCTCACATTTTCTCCTAGATATCTCTGCAGTTCTTGGAAAATGTGGTTTTATTCTTACTCATTACATTTTATGAGCACGATTTTATGTGTACCATTCCCCAGGGGATTTCCTCTTCATAAACTCAAGGCTGTTTGGGGCAGTTAAAGGAATGTGGTAGAGGCTGCAGGCATGTGGACGGCCACTCCTCCCTTCCACATGGAGCCTCTACCAATGGCAGGTGTTGCTGGGAAAGCAAACCAGAAGAGAGGACGACTCCAAAGAGTGTTGAGGAAATCAAGCTGACTCTCCTGTTCAGTCACACAGTGTCCCACCTCTCTGCTTTGAGATGATGACTTCAACATAAAGGTTTCTGAGGGGTGGGAGATGGGCATCTCCTGTCTTCCTAAAATGTGTTTTATAAGAAATCTGTCCTCACAGGGGAGAAAAAAGAGACAGATGAGGATTCAAGGGAGAAAAGAAAGGTCAAGGAGATAGGGCAAGTCACACAGAACTGCAATGGTTTATTTCTCTTCTATTTCAATAGTACAGTGAAGGGACCACAAAGATTTCAGATTTATTTATTTGTTTGTTTGAGCAGGGTGACTACACAACTCAGACTACATCAGTCTTCCTGTTTCTACCTCTCAGAAACTGGGATTACAGGTCGGAGCCATCACTCCCACTTCTCTCAAGGTCCTCCTGGGATCTGGCTGTGTCCGGGAGATGCGGTTGTGGCCAGGGGACACGACTGTGGCGTCGGAGGGACAGCTCAGCAGCAAGAGAGACACAAGCCAGGCAGAAAAGCCCTGCAGGATGTAAGCTGCCTGATACCAACAGCAGTTGACCTGCCAATGGGGCTCCTGTTTCAGAGTCTCCACTGCCCAGCGAGCTCTCTGCTAGGTGCTTGGAAACAGATTGACTAACACAATGGAATGATTTTGTAATCTGTCATAACACCATAAGCCACAGACCCACAGACTTTGACCCTCCACAGGTATAATAGCTCCTTTATTCGGCTGCACATGTTTTGCCAGTGGGGAGAAAGGAAGGGGGCCGTCTTCTAATTATATAACCCAAGCATATGTTTTGCCAGAGCACAAAGTATTATATTCATTAGCAACAATCTTTTAAGCCGGGTTCTTTTTGCTAGCCTGTTAACTAATTGACAGGTAAGCATTTGTATTAATAACATAATGCAGCCAAGCATGGCTTAGTATGACAGTTTTCTCTGCAAGCCCACATGAGTGTCAGCCCTCACGTTGGAACCCTGCTTATCAAGGCTCTTAACTGCCTGATAAACAGTATCGCTCCCCCAGGGTAAAGCCGGGAATCAGTGCAGCTTAGCCTGGAGGACTTCAGTTCCGTTTACAACACCTCCGAACGAGGAACTGATTTTTGCTTGTTTTTTCTTAAAATCTTGTTGGTATGGTCATTAACTCTGGACAAAAGTATTCAGCTGAGGGATGGTGGCCTTACTCTTTCTCTCTCCCTCATATGGAACTTTTGTTTTATGTCATGGGGTATAAAAGTAATTATTTCTGCCTGGTGTGGTGGCACACACCTGCAAACCCAGCACTTGGTAAATGGAGGCATGAAGCTCGGGAGTTCAAAGCCAGCCTCTGCTTACATAGCAAGTTGAAGGTCAGCCTGGTATACCAAAGGTTCTGGCTCAAAAATAAACAAATAAGTAAGTAAGTAAGTAAGTAAGTAAATAAATAAATAAATACAAGCCTGCTTTTCAAACCATCAGCAATTCCATCAACAACTGTGCAAAGGGTCCGGGTTTGTTTCCCAGTATCTATTTCAGAAGGCTCACAATTGCCCGTAACTCTAGTTCCAGGGGCTCTGACAATCTCCTCCTGACCCTACAGGCATTTGCATTCACTTAATGTACATACATACACTCAGGTCCACAAAATAACAAGTTTTAAATGTGTAAGGTGGTTGGGAGAGATGGCTCAGTGGATGAGAGTCCTCATGGCCTTTGCTGAGGATCTGAGTTTGGTCCCAGCGTCTATGCTGGGAGACTCACGATTACCTGTAACCCCTGCTTGAGGAGACTCACGATTACCTGTAACTCCTGCTTGAGGAGCTCTTCAATGCCTCTGGCCTCCACCTGCCTCCACACGCACCCACACACAGATGGACACATAATCAAAACTGGTAAAAATCTGTTATTTTTAGACTCACATAAAGTGATTGGAGAGGAAGCAAAAAAAAAAAAATCTATCATGCCAGGAGTGGCGGCACATGCCTTCGATACCAGCATTCAGGAGGCAGAGGCAGGCTGATCTTTGTGAGTTCAGGGCCAGCCAGGGCTACACTGTCTCAACAAAACAAAGCAAAAAACAAAAATCACCCCCCAATTAAAAAAACAACTAACCAAACAAATAAAAAGCCTATCATATCACACACTACTCTCTGCCTTTGAAACTGCACCCATTTCTCAGCTTAAACACACTCTTCTCTATGATGCCTTCCCCAGTTCACACACAGACGCAAATGTTTTTCTCCCCTGTTCTCCAGACACCAAACTTCTTTCTGCCTCTACTCATCTCACCATAACCACCGTGGGGTATGAGCTGGTCTATACTTCCTTCCCTTTCTCCCATGATACCTTGGGGTATGACCTGGTCTATACTTCCTTCCCTTTCTCCCTCGATGCCTTGGGGTATGACCTGGTCTATACTTCCTTCCCTTTCTCCCATGATGCCTTGGGGTATGGCCTGGTCTATACTTTCTTCCCTTTCTCCCATGATGTCTTACCTACTGAAAATGCTCACTAAATACTTGCCGGGTTAATTTGAATTTACCCTCTATTGTGAACTCTAATCCCAGTCAGTCAGTTAATACTCTTGATCTGTCCTGACTGTATTTCTGGAATCTAGCTCTTTTTCAAATTACCTGGGGTCTGACTGCTAGCTTCAGTCTCTCAGTTTTTTTTTTTTTTTGGCAGAGGCCTTACCAAACTGTAAATATGATTATAAGCATCCCATGACTAAAATCGTTCTGTAATTACCCATTCATTTATCCATCCATCCTTCCTCCCCCCAGTGTTTTGTGTGCCGTGTTGGGTGGGCGCTGGACATCCTCATGCTGGCCTAGCTGACGAGCTCGTGGGATGCCAAGCAAGACATAGATTAAGTGAGTACACAGGGGAGTTAGCCCTTTTCGTCTTGTATCCATGGTTCTGCATCCTTGAATTCAAACAATGTGGAGTGAAATTCCAGAAACTTAGTAGGTCTAGGGAGGCACACCTGTAAATCCGTCACTCTGAAGGCTCAAACATAGGAAGCCATGAATTTGAAGCTAACCTGAGCTGCACAACAGGTTTGAGGCCAGTCTTGGTTATAAAGTGAAATGCTCTTGTAAAACAAACAAAAGCCAAAACCACAAAGCAATCTCATACCCCCATGATTGGAAAATCGTTTTGCAGAAAGTTCTAAAAAGGAATACACCAAGCACTGTTCTGCATCCTGGAGAACAGTCGTATGAGGGACACCTCCTGCAATGTCCGCCATTTCCAGACCCCCAGTCTCCCAGCATGTGTGGCTTGAGCTTTGTTTTCTGTGCCTCTCCCTCTGCAACTACATAGGTAAGCCTAGGGTGGCTGTGTCTGCATCATACATGTACAGAAGTTTTAGAAGATGGTCATTTTTTGTTCCAATGCAGTAAAATATTACCACTATTTACCTAGTGCTTACATTGTATTGTAACCAGAGGTATGGAAAGATGGGTTAGTGCTGGATATGAGCACTTATTCTTGCAAAGGATCCTGGTTCAATTCCTAGCACCCACACAGTAGTTCACAACCATCCAGAATTCTATTTGCAGGATGTACATGACACACAGACATACATGTGACCAAATACTCATATACATAAAATAGAATGAACATAAACAAAAACACACTAAAAACAAGTAACTAAACAATTAGAGAAACAAGCTAAAGAGGTGATTTACAGTATACGAGGCATTATGGAGGTCATATGAAAAAATGTCATCTCACAGAAGGGACTTGTGACCCCTGGGGATGGAGTGTGAGCCTGGAACCAATCCCAGAGTCTACTGAAGGACTACTTGATTTAGGCCCGAGGGCAGGAAGTAGCAGGTGGTGAAATGAAGGAACTTCTTTTATCAGGGTTATTTTCCTTTCAATACTGCAGATGACATCTTTGCCTTTTCGCAAATAGGATATGCCAGACAGATGAGGAGTTCTTTGATAAACTGTTAGCCCCCAAGACATCCCGATTCTGTGCAGCAGAAAATCATCTCTGAGAATGCAATCTGGGTGCTGGAAGTCCATACAAGCATGGATGGGAAGACAAGAGAAGTGCCACAGTAGGGTCGCTCTCCACGGTGGCTTGGGGAAGATGTCCTTTTCATGTTATGATTCATATTACTGTTGTTCAGTTTAGCAATGTACCCGCACTGGGTTGATTTCACTTTAGACGGTCATATGTTCCTTAATCCTTGCATGCATCAAATGAAGCCTGTTTACTTCACAGTAGCAGACACAGGAGTGAGGAAACAGAGAGAGGAGGAGAAAAGGAAAGGACCATGGCCCCAATATCTCTTCTAGGGGGACACCCCCATAATGGCTTAGCCTTCTTTAAATAGATCTTACTTCTTACTTGTTAAAAGTTCCAATAGCAGCAAAGGCTGGTGACCAAGCCTTTAAAAGCAATAACCTTTGGGTGGCATTCCAGATCGAATTGCACGTACAAAGGGAGACGTGAAATGGTAAAATGTAAGGCCTTTTTGTGTAGATGGAGTTTCTTTCCCACCTGGTCCCTCTGCCCTTCATCCCCAAATAAGCACACAGAGATGCTATATTAATTATAAACTGTTTGGCCAATGGCTCAGGCTTCTTGTTGGCTAGCTCTCTCTTAATTATTAACCCATAACTATTAATCTATGTATTTCCCAGAGCATCCTATCTTCCTGGTAGCTACATGGCATCTCCCCATCCACTTCTCTCTGCATCCTCTACCCAGAATTCTCCCCATCTCGTAGCCCCACCTATACTTCCTGCCTGGCTACTGGCCAACAGTGTTTTATTTATCAACCAATACAAGAAGCATATATACAGAAGGGCATCCCCCATCATACATTATGTATGATGCATATATGTGTGTATGTGTCTTTGGCATGTGTGAGCGGGTATGCATACATCCCCCCCCCCCTGTGATGGTGTGGCATTCAGGGAACCACTTTGGATGCTGGTACGTGCCTTCACTTAGTCTTAACAGAAACTATCTCTTGCCAGCTACTGCACAAGCAGGATAGCTGGCCCATTAGCTTTGGGGGAGTTTCCTGTCTCTGTCTTGAATCTCACCATAGGAGGAGTGGGATTGACTTGTGCACCACGGCTCCTGGATTAATACAGGTTCTGGGGATTAGAACTCTGATCCTCACAGTTGCATGGCAAGTACTTTACCCACTGAGCTATCTGTGCAGCCCAGGATATACATACATACATACATTCATACCTAGAGACTTGACTGATACTTCTATGGGTTTAGCTGTATCCTACTGGGCAATGCCTCTGTCTGCTCTGGGCTGATGAGTTTCTCATCCTCTGTCTGACCTCCTCTTCTCAGTCTTCTCATCCTGAAATTTCTATGGCACAAATATCTCTTAAATCATCTGCATGTTTCCATCTCTCTTTTTGAGAAAAGTTACCTAAGGCAACTTATATGCAAGTATATAGTGTACCCTGAATATTCCCCCCATACTCTCTCCCCTTCCATCCCTCCCCCATCTCCCCTACACTCTACACTCTTTGTTTGTTTGTCTTTGAGATGGGGCCTTACAGCACACCCCTGGCTGGCCTGGAGCCCTGTAGGCAGAGCAAGCAGGTCTTCCACAGTGGTTTGCTGTCTCCTGAGTGCTGGGATTACAGGTGTGTCCCGTCTTGCTGGCTTCCATCTTTACCCTCAATCATGGCTCCCTTAGACTGCAGCAGTGTCACTCAGATTCCCAGTCTAAACACGACCACCACCTCTAATCCGTTTCTCTCCAACTTAGCTAGAGAATTTTCTAAAACAAATCACCCACCCCATTTCCTTTTATTCTTTGAAGGATTAATCCCTTGAGAATTTCTTCATTTTTAAACATTTTTTAAAGATTTATTTATTCTTATTTTATGTGCATTGGTGTTTTGCCTGCATGTATGTCTGTGTGAGGTTGCCAGGATCCCTGGAAATGGAATTACAGACAGTTGTGAGCTGCTATGTGGGTGCTGGGAATTGAACCTCAGGCCTCTGGAAGAACAGCCGGTGCTCTTAATTGCTGAGTCATCTCTCCAGCCCCGAGAATTTCATACATTGTATACTGCTCATATTCACCCCCTTCCCAAACCCACATCTTTACTCTCACAACTTCGAAACTTTGTGTCCTCGTTTTCTTTTCAAATCCGTGGAGTCCCGTTTGTGTAGTACACATACTCCATCCACTAGAGCATGGTCGACCTGCCAGGGACCACACACCCTTTAAAAAGCTCTCTTTTCCAGCAGCTCTCTGCTGTTAATAGTTCCTTCGCTAGGGGGTGGGACTTCATGCCCACCCTCCCCTCCACTCTGGGACTTTTATGTGGCTTGAGTTTGCACAGGTCTTGCATAGGCGGGCACAGCCGTTTGAGTCACCTCCCTCTCTCAGTAGACTGGAAGCCCTTCTTGATCTGTTTCGCCCTGCGGGAGCCTCTCTTGGAGCCTGTCTGTCCTTCTGCTTTGAAGCTTCCTGGTGGGGCTTTTCTCTGTGGTCTTCGACGTGCTCCCCCCCCCCGCTTGAGCTGTGGAGGCCATTTGGGTGTCACATCTCTGGAACTGGAGGTACAGATGTTTGTGAGCTCTTGTGCGGGTGCTCAGAATTAACCGTCTCTCCAGCCACACTCTTTCCTCTTAACGTCTGTCCCTTCATTTATTTTCCAGTCTGAAAACCAGCTCAGCAGCACACACCTGTGTCCCAGCGCTGAAGAGGCCGACAGAGGTAGGATCACTGTAATTCCTGTAAACTCGAAGCCACCCTGGTCTCCATGGGACAGTCAGCGTGCTTAGTGAGAGCTTGCCTCTAAAATAAATAAATGAATAGATAAATAAACCTTGAACCCTGTGTCCCTTCCCCGTGACTCCAGTGCTACTCAAATGTGTCTAATTCAAGAGCCACAGCACCTGTTTCAAATAGTGTAGTTGCCTGGATCTGTCTCAACCTCTGTGCCAGTTACCCAGGGCATCCTGGTGCCTGACCCAGGATGAATGCTTGCTTTCTGTTCTGTATTCCAGCTCTGTACCGTCCTGGGCCGGCTCTCTCACTCTGGGCCCCGGAAACGGCCTTAGGTCGGCTTTCTCCATTTTCCTCTTCGCAGCTCATAGCTGCAGAACCACTGCCCTGGAGCACCGCTCTCATCACACGGGCAGCTCCCCTTCGAGCTGTCTCCAAGAGCTCCACTTGCCTCTTGAATTAAATTAAAAGTCCTAATCATGGGCTTCAAGGGGCTTTACCAATTAACTGCTTCCCCACCCCCACACCTAACTGCTAGCGGTCGCCCCCCCCCACTATGGCGGCTTCCCCGCTGCCCTGCAGACCCCCCTCCTCATCCTGCCTCACCCACACCCCACTCTCCTTTGTCTGCCTCGCTGACTTCTCTTTCCTTCCCTGAAATTATAACCCTCTCCTCTTCAATAATATTGCTCGATAATCATTTCCTCTTAACGAATATTTTCGAAATCCATTCCACGGGACTTTGTTCCTGTAAGAACGTATTTTCAAAACTGTGAGTTATTTGTGCTTGTTTGTGCCCGCCACGCTTGGTGTCTTCTGGTAACTTCTTTTCAATACTGTCTGCCCTTTGTGTGTCCAGTCACTCCAAGGACAAAGGGAATGTCTTTCCCTCACCTGTGACTCCCTGAGATTGGCTCCAGGCATGCTCTGGGCTTCAGTGCCTTGCTAACTTTCGAAATAGACATGGAAGCAGACCCAGAAAATGGGGCGGCCTGAAGAAAATTGGTTTTCTAAGCTAGTTTCTGGGTCAGTCTGACCATGTGCAGTCTCAGCCGAACAACGGTTTCTTCTCAGCCTCCTCGATGTGGGAGAATGTTCTGGTGGTTGTTAGAAATATAGAAACAAACCTTCTCCGGCCCCGGTAGAACATGTACTTAGCCTGCAGGAGGGCCTGGGTTCCATCTGTAGTACCAAAAAGAAACAAAAGCTGCAGCAGCTGCATGGCACACGCCAGGAGCACCACACAGGTGACTTCACTGGTGCATATGATTAATCGGGACTCAGCTCTGACTTACAAGTACATTAAGGATCCAGAGGAATTTGTATAATCTGTCCTTGTCACGGAGGCAAGTCTTCATGATTCTAAAACTCACACTATCTGGGAGGATGCCTCTCAACAAGCCGGCCTTAAGGCAGAGAGACTGGACTCTAAACCCAACCCCGTATTCACACCCTGGCAGAAGTGCAGCTGCCACTGAAGTCCTTGGTCACCTTGTCCCTGCCTTGTGGCTCTGTTCATTGTGTTTGCTTCCCAGAAAGGATTACTTTTGTTTGTTTTTTTGAGACAGGGTTTCTCTGTGTAGCTTTGTAGACCAGGCTGACCTCAAACTCACAGAGAATCACCTGCCTCTGCCTCCTGAGTACTGGGATTAGGGGCTGGAGAGGTGATTCAGCATGTTAAGAGCACTGGCTGCTCTCCAAGAGGTCCTGAGTTCAATTCCCAGTAACCCATGGTGGCTAACAACCATCTCTAACAAGATCTGGTGCCCTCTTCTGGCCTGCAGGGACACATGTATACATAATAAATCTTAATAAAATTTTAAGCTGAATGAAATAAGCCCAACTCAGAAAGACTTTGTTTTTCTCATGTGCAGACCATAGATTTAAAGTGTATGTGTGTGTGTGAGAGAGAGAGAGACAGACAGAGAGAAAGATAGAGAGATAGAGACAGAGAGACAGAGACAGAGACAAAACTAGCAAGATCATGAGGGGATAAAAGAATCCTAAGGCACGGGATAGACAGTAATGGAATACATGGGACATGAAAGCAACAGGAAGACTGGGAGAAGAAGGGAGAAGTCAGGGCGGGGCACAGGGGAGAAGTGAGAGATGGGCTGGATTAGAACAAAGCATAGGACATATATGTAGCACGAATAATACAAACCCAGAGACAGATATTGGGGTTCAAGCTGAAGATCAGAGAAACAAAGCAGCCAGTCACTGAGAGTTCTCACCTCTACCAATGCTCAGACCAAAGGGGTGATCCACCAAACCTCAGATTGCATCTCTGTTGTTCTTTTACAGCAGTTACTCGTGCAGGTAGATGGAACAGGAAAGCAGTTATGAGTAGGTGGCAACACGAACCAGGAGATCCAACAAACCCATGTGGAGTTTGTTGGAGGAAGGGGTGAGGGGACAAAGGGGAAGGGGGCATAAGCAGAGCGGGGGCGGGGAGGGGGGGAGAGAGAGACAGACAGACAGACAGACAGAGAGAGAGAGAGAGAGAGAGAGACAGAGACAGAGAGGACAGAAGAGAACACGTGGAGGTGCTCGCTTAAAAGGTGGAGCTTGCACATGCGTACTGAGTCCTTACGTAGCCCCGTAATGGGTGACACAGCCATGACGAGGCCACGCAACACAGGGACCTTTGAGCTGCCGAAGTACCTGCCTGTACGCCGGTTTGCATGTCCCACCCATTGTCGGGGGTGAGGGGGGATCAGCATAATGCTGGGTTCCAACAATCTCCAGACTGTACTGCTCCCCACCAAGCCTCAGAATCCTAGACTCTCTGACACTGCACTGAGCTCCTCTAGGTGTGAGCTCTGTTTCTCTTTTAGACCCAGTCACTCTAATGTAGCCCTGGGTGGCCTTGAACTCACAGAGATCCATCTGCCTCTGTCTCCTGAGCCCTGGGATTAAGGATATATGCTACCACTGCCCAGCTCCTATAGCTAATTAGTGCGGCTGGTTTTTGCATTCTGATCCTTCAGGCAAGCTTTATCAAATCATAAACTATATACCACAAACACACACATGTATGAAGATAGCATAGTGGAACCCATTGCTTTGCATGAGAACTTAAAGATTAATTTTGAAAGAACTTAAAATTTCAGTTGAAGATTTCTTTAATATTGTCTGGATTTGTACACAATGTCAGTTGTGTGCAGACACACTTCTACATAGGCTCTGAATGGCAGGTGGAGAAACCTGGTTTACAGAGAACATGCTCTCCTTCAGCCTTTCCTGTTTTTTCAGCCTCCGGAACTTCTTACAAGCAAGGTTGGGAAGAGTCTGCATCAGTTCTTTTTGTGGTCATCTTTCAAACTATGGGCTGAAATGGAGCTAGATGAGGAGACCTAGGGACTGAAGGGGCTGGGGAAAGGACTCCTGAGACAAGCCATGTAAGGACTGTTCTCTCTGTGTCCCCGCTGCCCTTTGGTCACAACTATTGGTTTTCATCACAACACTTTTGTCCCCTGTTGCAGAATATTTGTTCAACTATGTAAAGATGTGTTGCATTTGTTTAATTATGTAGAGATGTATTGTTGTTTTACCTTGCCTGCCTAAGGCACCTGATTGGTCTAATAAGAAGCTGAATGGCCAACAGTGAGGGAGGAGGTAAAGGTAGGACTTCTGGGCAGGGAGAGTAAGTAGGAGGAGGAATTTAGGCTTGGAAAAGAAGAAAGAAGATGCGAGGAGCTAGCCAGACAGACACTGAGGAAGCGGGGGGGGGAGTAGGACATACAGAATGAAAGAAAGGTAAAAAGCCCCCAAGGCAAAACATAGATGAATGGAAACAGGTTAAATAAAGTTAAAAGAGCTGGTGGGACAAGCCTAAGCTAAGGTCAAACATTCATAATTTATAATAAGTCTCCATGTCTTTATTTGGGAACTGCTTGTGGCCAAAAGAAAATTTCACCTAGTCTCCAAATTTGCTATCATGGTGACCACAGACAATGCCATTGTTCTGCAGAGGCTTAATTTTCTGAGGCACTGGGCCAGACTGTAGTTTCAAAGGTGAAATGCCCTTTTACACACTACAACTCTTTTTCTAGGAAACCCTTCCTTTTGCAGATGAGGAAATGGAAAAGGAAAAACCTTGGACACTTTCAGGGAGAGCTTTTGAAGCTGACCTCTTGGTAGGGAGACAGAAGGGGTTATTGTCACCTAGGAAACCTAGGGCCCTGGCATGGCTTCAGGGGGTCTGTGAGCCTCTAAAGGCTGCAAGCAAAATTAGAGCTTGTTGGGCTAGAGAGATGGCTCAGTGGGTAAAGGTACTTGCTGATGAGTCTGATGGCCCAAATTCAGTCCTCAGAAACCATACGGTGGAAAGAGAAAGCCAATTCCTGCACATCCTCAGAAACCATACGGTGGAAAGAGAAAGCCAATTCCTGCACATCCTCTGGCCCACACCCACCCCACACCCAAACGTCATCATGTAATAAAAATAATTTTTAAAAATGGATATTTAACATTTTTAACTGTGATTTTTTTCTCCAAAAAATGATAAGCATTATAAGATTTTCATGAAAGAGTAGTCTACTGAGTTGGGTCTGCATTTCTCAAAGTATTTTCTGCTATAGTCACTAGGAGAGCTCCAAAACCCATTCTTCTTCTGCGTCCCCCCCCCCCCCCCCCGTCTTTTGAATGAGAATCTCTAGGGTTATGGGCATTATTTTTAAATTTTATTTACTTACTTATTTAATTTATTCATTTCAATAGATTCCACTACGCAGAGTAGGAGAGCCTTGAACTTACTGTGGAGCTGACATCAAACTTCTTCCTTCTTCAGCCTTGCAAATGCTGGAGTTGTAGGTATGAACTCACCATATCCAGATTAAAGCCTAAGCAAAGCGCCCATTTGCCTATCTCAAGAATGTAAGAACTTGTCTCTGGTAGTGTCCTCTTCTCCACCCCCACCCCACCCCCAGTACCTCTGGTGGAAGATACCATGTTTATCTGGAGCACATGAAACCATGACCTTATAAGGAGTCAGGAGTTTGTGGTCTGTTTGCCTTAAAAGTTATCATTGCCTTCACGTTGTTTATGAAAAATCTTGTTGCCTGGGTAAGGTCCAGTTTTGTATTCCTTGATTGCCATCTGCTGGTGGGTCTCCATACTTGGAAACAGAAATTCCCTGGAAGACTGGATCAACCTGGAGGGATCTTCTTGCTTCCCAAGTGGCTGGTACTATAGACTCGTGTAACCAAACCCGGTTGAGAATGACACTTTGAACACTCATAATGAGGGAGGAGGTCAAGGGTGATGTGGCGGTGATGGGAGTGGGGGTGGTGATGGCAGCAATTATAACAGATGGCTTTATTCCCTCAAAAGGTGTCTATTGAGCCTCACTAAGGACTAGATGCTGGGGGCGGGGCACAGATAAGCAGGGTAGAACAAACATGTCCTTGTAGAGATTTGATTCCCGGGCATGAGACATTAAGCAAATAAGTGTGATTCCCAGCAAAACAAACCAGGGCAGATGAGGAAGTCATGTGGAGGGAGGACACTGCTTAGACAGAAGGTCTGGGAGGCCTTTAGCAGGTGAATTTGGACACAAGCCTGAACAAGGTGAATTTTGTTGAGTAGTTCTCTATGTAGACCCTGAGCCAACGGCTTCCTATGCAGCACATGGCATACCCTCTCTCCACACGTGAGAGCTAGGTCCCGCCGCTCCCCCATATTACCAAAGAAGAGAGAAAAGGAGCCGGAAGCTAAACCTTGGCCCTGTCCTTTCACGCTACTTTGTAACTTTTCAAAGCTCTTTCATGCAAATGGAATAATATATGCAGAGATGCCTTGTGGTTGATAAAGTACTATGCAAATGCAAGCAATTAAAATTGTAACTATTTTAATGCAGTCTGATTTGACCTTCATGGCATCCTTTGAAGGAAATCAGGTGGTAGTATTATATCCTTCTATAGACTAAAGCCACACATGCACCCCACTCCGTAGTGACTTAGCCAAGGTCCCAAAGGCAGTCAAGGGCGTATTCAAAACCAATTTTTAAGGAATACTGTTTTAAAGTTTGGGACTTTTGTTCTTGAGATGATAAATTATATTCAATATATTTCTTGCCAAGCTTATTTATAACTATATTAATCATCAGAGTTAAAAAATGGTTTAATGCTCAACATTAAGCCTTCAAGTGCTTGCAAGGGCTTGATTTCAGATGCTCGAGGTCAGGAGGGATTACCAACAGTCCCAAATGCAAGACTTACCACAAACAAATGTCAGCATTGTTTTCCTTACATTCCTAGATCCAGAGCTCCTTCCTGGCTGTTGAGGGCTCACGCCAGAGGCTGAGGGGATGTTCAGATTTTAGAAAGCCCCACAGCAGAAAATTCAGGAAGAAAGACTGGCTAGTGGTTTGAAACTACCCTAACTCTCCTCCTATCCCTGCCTCCCCATCCAACAACTCCCACTGGTGGTAAAGCCTGGTTCGAGAACTCTTCCCTACACATTTCCATAAACTGCTCCTCATATTTTCTTTAAGGTTTGGAGTTAAGAGTTAACTAAAAGCAAAAAAGACGCCAGTGCCTTAGCAAAGGCCATGGGTACCTCAAGACCTACCAGAAGGGGCCCAGACCTTGAGGGTGATTTTTTGTAATGTTCTATCCAGGAGAGAAGCCAGAGCATCCCATGAGGGACAGAAAATAGTGAGTCCAAGAGTACATAACAAAGCCACCCACACTTACAACGAAAAGCCCAGTAGGCCATCTGTGATGCCTATAATCCCAGCACTTGGGAGGATGAGATCAGCCTCTGACCTCCTATAAGAAGAGAACTCTGACCACAACACTCATGCCATAGCACCCAAGGCAACCATGTAAACAAAAAAATGTCAAAAGAAAAAATACATGACAAATATGATCTTGAATTATAGTATTCTAAAACTCAGGAGTTCTTTATTTTACAATTCTCTGAAAAATTGTCAGGTTTTCAAATTGCGTGGGCTATGTGAATCTCCAATTTCAAAAAAGTCAATAAAATAGAGTTTGAAAAGTTATGAGATGAGGTCACAGTGGAACTAATTGTTTCCTTGTGAGACAGAGTCTCATTCTGTAGTCCAAGCTGTCCTGGAGTTAAACCGAAGTCATCCCTAAACTCATGGAGATCCTCCTGCCTCAGGGTCATAAGTGCTCTATGCCATAAACCGACAAAATGTTTGTGTATTTCCTTGATGTCAGAATTTATCGAATAATAGTAAGTTTACATGATTTAGGTTTTTTGTTTTGTTTTGTTTTTTGAGACAGGGTTTCTCTGTGTAGCCTTGGTTGTCCTGGAAGTCACTCTATAGACCAGGCTGACCTTGAGGTCTGCCTGCCTCTGTCTCCCAAGTGCTGGGATTAAAGGCATGTGACACCACCACATATATATGTACGATTGTTTTGCCTGAATGTATGTCTGTGCACCACTTGCATGCCTGGTACCTACAGAGGTCAGAAGAGGGTATTGAATCCACTGGAACTGGAGCTGCAGATGTTTGTGAGTCACCGTGGGGCGCTGAGAATTGAACTTGACTCTTCTGAAAGAGCAACAAGTGCTCTTAGTCACTAGCTGTCTCTCTAGTCCCGTGGGGTGTATTTTGATCCTCCCTCTTTTTCTTATTTTCTCTCCCTATCTGGTTCCAATTTAGGGTACCTTCAGGCCACATGTACAAGGGAGGCTGGGTCGTGGTGGCTCCAGCCCTGAGCACAGTAGCAATGGTCACAGGCTCTCTGACTTGCTCCACTCACTATTGGAGGTGACTCCATAGAGTCAACACTCCAGGACTGCCTGCATTGCTAGTGATGGAACTCAAGTTCTGCAAGCAACAGGCAGCCTGAATGGACTTGCAATCACAATTTTTTCCTTTTCCCTTCTCTCTATCCCTGCTGGTTATAGTAATGACATAATCACAAAAATTGCCTATAAAGTTCAGGCGAGTTAGTGTGACCTTCAAGCCCTTTCCAACCTGGCTCCTCCTTACTGTCTTAATCCTCTAGAGTGGTCTGGCTGGAGCTGAATCCCAGGATCTCTTGGAGCTGGGCCTGGTGCTCTCTTCACCTTGTGACTGTTTGCATTCATTGGTCTGCAAAGTGCCAAGGAGCCCTCTGGGTAGAATCCATGAGCTCTGCCCACAAGTGGGCAGGTGCACATGCTCAGACCTGACTGAGAAGAGAGCCAGTGTCTGTGTCCGTGTCACCACATCTTGGCTTTAGCATGAGGAGTGAGCAATGGATGGAGACTATGGACCTTGCATTTCATTTGCGTGCTCGGGGAGAATGTGGGTCTGAGTACTGGCTGCTGCTCGATTCCTTATTTTATTTTTTTATTTTATGGTGCGAGGACTCTAACCCCAGGCTTTGTTCACAGAGGCAGCGCTCTGTCAGGGCTGTATACACAGACAAGAATTCTTTCCTTGAGCTTCTTTGCTGGCTTCTCTACTCTCAACTCAGGTTCTGAAAATACCCTGCAAGTAATTGATAAATGCTTGGGGCTTTTTGTTTGTTTTTCTAAAGCAGGAAATATTTGTTTGAGAAGCCCAAGTGTGTAGAGAGGAGCAAAAAGAAAGAATAAACAACTGTAATTGAAACACATATGTACATGTGAAAATATCATAATAAAACCCATTGTTTTGATTTTTTAAATTTAAATTAGAAACAAGCTTGCTTCACATGTCGATCCCAGCTCCCTCTCCCTTCCCTCCTCCCCTGACCCCCAACCCATTGTTTTTACACAATTAGCACACTCTAATTTTTTTAATGGATTTAAAATAAGGAGTCATTTTCCTTTTGTGTACCATTGCTTTTGGAGTCTCCACTAGTGAAAGGTTGACAAGAAATGTTTGGACAGGCAAAGCAAGAATTTCAAGGTATTAATTATTATACAAGCCATTTTGTATTTTTACAATAAACAAAACTTGGGCATAGTATAAAAAAGAAAAAAAGAAAGAAGGAAATGTTTGGACAGAGATCTACTCCTATCATGACTGCCAAGCGGGCCTCCTTGGGGAACATATGGAAGGTTTATGCTCAAGTTGCCTGCATCAGGTTTAGCAGGGTTATAGCTGAAACTAACTAATGTGTAAATTGTTGACATGAGCAGAGATGGGTCAAACGTGCCAACGCCCCAGTCCCATCGGAATGGAGGCCTTCCTCTGGTCTGGGTAAGAATGTAGACCGTATGTGCAGAGACTGCTGTCACAGCTTCCTCCAGGATGACTACAGCCTGATTCTGCTCCCTGACAGACCTCTACCCAGATTAACTAGCCTGCTTCCTCATTCAGCTGGATCTAACACACTCGATGAGTTTCCAGGATGCTGGTGCATCTTCATCGGAGCGCCCCTGACTCCTGATTGTCTGTATGTGTGCCTGTCATTTCTTCATTTCCCCCACTGCTCCTGTCAGATCAATAGCAAAACCGTGAGGATCACAGCAGTCAGCCAGGCCATGCACCACATCACATCAAGGTCACCATTTTTCAAGACTTGGAGGTGGATCAGCATTATGAATTTTTCAGTATTAAAACACGAATGCCCCATCCAACAATGAGAGATGCACTCTCACCCTGAACTCTTGGGGGAGGGTCTAGGCCCTGCCCTGGATGAAATGACAGACTATGGACACCCCCAAGGCCTCACCCTCCCTGGGGAAATGAGGGGATAATGGGGGAGTTGGGGGGAGGGCACGGGAGGAGGGGAGGGAAATGGAGAGGGACCTGGAACTGACTTGTGAAGCAACTTTGTTTCTAATCTAAATTTAAACTTAAAAATAAATAATAAAAAAGAAAAAAAACACGAATGCTGGGGGGTTGGAGAGAGAAGGTGGGTAAGAGCACTTGATGTTCTTCCAGAGGACCTGAGTTCTGTTCCCAGGACCCACAGAAGAATCTCACAGCAGCCTGCGGCTCCAGTTTCCTGGGATCTGACACCTTCTTCTGGTCACCATGAGCAGCACGTGCACACATGTGGCATGCATTTGCATTTACACAGACACATGCACATAAAAATAATAAACAAATAAAACAAAGCCAGTGCTAGGGCGCGATTAAATTACTAGGTGTCAACCAATGCCTCAGATAGAAGATGGCTGGCAGAGATGGCTTAGCGATTAAGATCACGGGCTGCATTTCCAGAGGACCTGAGTTCAGTTCGCAGCAGCCACAGGGCAGCTCAGAACTGTCTATAACTCCAGTTCTAGATGATCTGACACCTTCACACAGACATAGCATGCAGGCAAAACACCACTACATGTAAAAACAAATCTTTAAAAAGACGCCTGGCTTTGACCATGTGCTCGCCAAACTCTCGGCCAGCAACAGAGTAATCCTCAGGATGTTGTAATTTTAAGACTTACCTCTAGGTTGTGAAAATATCAGCAGTAAACACAGGAACAATACCTCTCTAGGTTCTTTTATGGTCCGATGTTGTCCAACTCTGACCTAACCAGTCTGGGTTAGTCAATTTCCTTTACTGTGGCAAAATATATGAGGAATATGATGCAAAGAGGGAAAAATTTATTTTGAGCCAACATCTTGGAGGCTTTGTTCCTGCTGAGGGGTGTGGTGAATCAGAATCCAGGGATGGGAAACTTATCGTTAAGAAAAGTGGCTCATCTCATGGTGACAGGAAGCAGAGAGAGGAGTGGTCAGCTGGGGGCAAGATCACCTGCCTACCCCTCATGACTAGCTAGCTCCTTCACTGAGGCCTTCTCTCTTATAGTTTCCACCACCTCCCAATAATCAATGCAATTATGAAATTATCAATGGGTTAATCCATTGATGAGGTCAAAGCCTTTATTCACTTCCACCAAGCCTGCCCTTAGTTTATTGTTGCAGTGGGGACTAAGCCTTCAACATACGAGCCTCTGGGGAACATTCTGGAACCAAACTAAAACACAAGCATGGCAGATAGCGCTGAGAATGCTTCGTATGGACACCCAGGAGACGGTCCCCACTAAGCACACAACTAATTTTTAAAGATTTTTTTGTTTTTTCGAGACAGGCTTTCTCTGTATTGTTTTGGAGCCTGCCCTGGAACCTGCTGTGTAGGCCAGGCTGGCCTCGAACTCACAGAGATCTTTCTGCCTCTGTCTCCCAAGTGCTGGGATTAAAGGCGTGCACCACCAATGCCCAGCTTTAAAGATTTTTTAATTGAAAAATTTTCATATACTATTTTGATCATATTTTTCCCTCCTCCAGTTCTTCCCAGATCCGACCTACTCAACCTTACGTTCTTTTTCTGTTTCAAAAATGAAAACATAAAAATCAAGAAATAACAAGAAACAGAAAAACCCATAAAATCAAAAGTCAAAACAAACAAGCAAAAGTACAGCAGGACAAAAATAAAAATAAAAAAGCTAAAACAAAGCAAAATGAATCAAAGTACTATTTTCCATTTTGTGTTGACCAATTACTCCTGGACATGTGGCTGTTGTGGACTATCCCTTTACACTGTGTGAAGATGTGTTACTGTGATTGGCTTAATCAAAAAACTAAATGGTCAATAGCTAAGCAGGATTTTCAGGGCAGAGAGAATGCTGGGAAGAAGGAAGAGATGCCAGGAGTTGCAAAGCAAGCAGGATGGGCAGGAAGTAAATTGATAGAAAAGGGTTAATTTAAGTTATAAGAGCTAGTTAGAAACAAGCCTAAGCTATCAGCTGAGCTTTCATAATTAATACTAAGTCTCTATGCCATTATGAGCTGGTGGCCCAAAAAAGAAAAGTCCATCTACATGTGGCCTGCCCTCAAGTGTGTTGTGGCCAAGTTGCAAAGTCCCCAGAGACCACCAGGAAGACAGACCCCCTAAACTGCAAAAGCATGGTTTAATGATTGTTCATCCAACCATAACAGGGACCCCATCTAGCAAGCTGATGCAGCAGCCTCCAGAGGGAGTAAAGTTCCCTGTCTACTGTTAGGTTTTATAGACAAAAGTTACAGGATTACATCAGTAGGTATGGGTTGGTTTCTGATTAGTTGACATTTGGTAACAATTAGGAGAATTTCTCAAAGTCATATTTTGGCATGAAATACCTGTGTACCAATTATTTTTATTGGTCAGTGCTGAGAGGGAACATTCTGTGGTTTCTATGGCATTGTCTTGTTATTTGCAGGTGGTCTGTTGTACATAGACACCAATAGTTTTCAAAACTGTATCCTGGAGACTACAGGGAAGGTTTTGGTCCCATCTGGAGTTTCTTTTGTGGCCCAACAGTTCCCAGGAACCAAGCATCTAGGAGGTTGGAGGGTGTCTGGAGT